TGTATACAAAACTTGGCTTACATTTCATACAGCGTTCTGTCCTATAAAGTGTCTGACATTGCATGTTTGCATACAAACTATAAGTTGCTGCCATCTTGTGGCCGCACTTGGCTACTGTCTCTGGAGGCAAGCTTGACTCTGAGCCACTGGAGTCTGTAGCTGCTGTCATTTTCAAGGGTGTGTCCTGGAAGCTAAGAGGCCAGGAGCTTTTTTGTGGTTCTTTGCACTTAATCAGTATTGCATGCACTATATGTTAATTATGTTTCACTGCTCTAAGATCAGTTGCAATCTGCATGTTACCGCAGAAGGACAGTTAGGAAGTAAGTGAGGATATTACTGTGATTTTTCATTTCAGCAGATTAGTTTTAGCCAGGAAAACCTTTATAAAGAAAATTCACATAATGAAGAGGGTACTGTGATCTCTGGAATGTCCCAAGGTTTTAAGTTTGTGTACGTATGGTTTAGAGCCTAAAGTCTTTGTTATATTTTAGTTCTAGTATATATCAGTTAATTGATTATTGGTGTCTGTATTTCTCCGATTGGGACATAGTATGAATAATCACTTGGTTGGCTGGATGCAAGTTTAATGAGTTGATTTTCTTTTTCTCCCTCATTTCTTAAAAAATATTAACCATGTCACACAATACTAAAGCTTCAATTCAGTTTGCTTTTATTATACTAATGTATTTCTTTTTTTTCCATTAAGGTGTAGGGCTGTTTTTCTAATTAGATTAAGAAATGTTTTTCTTTTAGAGAAAGCCATACTACAAAGATATGATAGTACACAATATGATGGTACTGTGTGAGCTCAACCTTTAATATTCGCAATAGTAATATTACCCATACAACACTGATGGGGAATATGGAAGGGTGAGTATCATCTCTGCTTGCCTTTCAGCAACAATCACCCCACTTTACTGGATGTTTGCATAATCACAATGCATTTTAAGCTTTTCACTTGCTATTTTACCCTCTCTTGGCTGCTTTGACTCACACATAGGAACATTGTCCCCTAACCACATGGCTACTGGTTTGATCCCCAACCCTGGCCTCTTCAGATGGCGCCACAGCCTTAGCACCCAGTGGCCACAGTACGTTACAGCGATTGCAATTTCGATTTTTTTCTGTTGTTGTTTTTACATTTTCCTAGCTAGCAAATTGAGAGTTTGTTTTAGGACAACAGTAATTTCCCCGTTTCAGTTGTCTTCTTAAAAAGATGCACTCTGACAGGAACACTCTGCACTTCTTTTCTATTTGTTAGACAAAAAAAACCCAGCAATGTCAAATTTATGATAGTGCAACAGCAGCTTTTCGGTTCATTACTTTTGTGCCAACATGAATAATAGATTTGCGGTGCAAAACATTTTCACCTATTGCTGTTGACTGAGCTGGAGAGACAGAAAGAGAGCACATAATTGTATACATTTGTATTTATGCATGCACTTCACAGAGATTTCAGTAATTTTGTTTATGTCCAAATGAGTCATGAAATTTGTTTGTGTGCCTCTGTGTAATAGAATTTGCCTTTTTCTGATGTAGTCATGAAGGAAATATGCAGGTAATGTAGTCAGTCTAAAAAAAACAACTAAAACTGTATTCTTTTTCTTTTTCTTTCTTTTCACATGCTCTCTGATTACACTATAACAATAATTGACTTCCTTAATCCCCAATATGATGCACAGATCCATAAGAGAGATGACTTTTACTCCTTTTTCTTTCTTCTTTAATTGCATGGACTGGCCTGAGGATAGAGACGATGAAATATCACGTACAGTTCGATCTCCCGAGAATTTTTGTTTTTGCTCATGCAGGTATGAGTGTATTCACATTGTATGTGTGTTTTGCGGTCAAGCTGTTATGAGCTGGAGGGGGCACAGGGCTAAGTGGAGCCTAGCAGCAATATCTAGATGGATATTGTGGACTTCTCTTTTAACAGAGTGACAGCACTTTGTAGTGGAAGCTATTCTTAGAGCCCCTGGTTCAATTGCATTGGTCCAATTGAATTGGAGGATGCCGTGCCACACAGGACATCCATGGTCACTTGATGGGGCTGACACAAACACTCACACTCTTACATTCACACCTGTCTATCACACCTCCACGAGCGTTAATCCAGCTGAGGCTCTCCGGATCACCTTCTTCGTTCTGCCTCCTTTGTTCGCTCACACGTTCTCTTCTTTTGTCTCTCCAGACACTCTATCGTTATCTCTTCGCTATTACTCCCTCTCTCGTCTCAATTGTCTTAACCACAGCCAAGGGAAAAGTACAAAGTTAAGCTGCAAGAAATTACCAAGGACGCTGTATTTCTCTGTTCTTGTTGTGTCTCTCATCCTTGTCTTGTTAAGGCGTCTCATAATTAGGAAACCATGGCTATTTTTGAATGTTGTCTATCCGTAAATGAATCTCTTTGCTGCGTTTTTAAAAAAAACTACCTGCTGGGTCAAACTCATTCACTTATGTGTAATGGTGTAATGTAAATTATCAGATGCTCCCATTGTGTTTTCATATAAAAAATAAAAAACAAAATGAAGTGAAGTGAAGCAACTTTGGACAGCTGATGTATAAACATATTAATGTTTTGCACTGGTATTAAGTAAAATCTGACAAAGGGGTTTTTTGTAAGTTATCTGGCTGCTTAGATGACGACACAGCAGGTTTGAAATGAAAGCATACGTAAACATACTTTCTTTTCCTGGAGGAAAAGAAAATGTCCTTTACAAATGTACTTAATTTTGTAAAGATGTATTTCCTAAATTAACGTTAAATACATTTCAGCCCATTGATGTTGAGCTGATTCTCATGTAGAGGACAACTACACTCCTTTCTCTATTTCATGGACTCCCTCTCACAATTACTAACTGTGGATGTTGTCCAGTTGACACTGACCAGTAGAGCCGTGTCTCTATTACCACAGGTCCCTCCCATGATATTCATCTCAACATGCCAAATGTTTTTTAAGAAAAACAACAAAACCTACATTACTTGACTGCAAGATAAAGACACAAAACTAACTCCATGACAAACACACATTTATTCTTGCTTTACAATAGAGACTTTGACAAAAAACACCTGCTGTATTTTCATTTAAAGGAAAGGAAAAAGTCCCACAACTAATATCACACTTTTTGTTACCAAACAAAACTGAATGAAGAGATATAGCAGTGATAGTGAGTGGAGCCACTTGACTTTCAGTGCGTCCTTTCTATGTGAACTGACCAAGAACAACAAATCCTTTTTTCACCTTCTTCTTAAAGAACTCTTTTCTGTTGGAGCTTTGGGATCCTGCAGCTGAACGTGGTGTAAAGTACTAGCTAACAGCACTCAGGGCAGTGAGAAGGTCAGAAAGCACTCCCAGCTTTCGCTCTCTGGCCCCTGAGACCAGATCGCAGTCTGAATCATTTAGCTGGAAAGTTGTTCCAAACCACAATGTACTGCATGCATATGAAGGTCCTTTATCTATGTAACAAATCCAGCGATCCCTGTATTGTCATTCAGCATTTTTATCTGTGGCTATACCGAAACTCATGACTGTGGAAAGTTTGCAACACTGATTGTAGCTGCACTTACAGAGCAGAAGCTCACTTTATGTATCGCAAAACCTCAGTAATGTTTATTCTGTATGCACTGAAACTTCTGTGCCACCCATTAATGTTTGCAAATTAAGACTAAATACATCATCCAGTGGGGCACCACTCATTCACCGAGTGCGCCTGCACACACAGACCCACCGAGGAGCATGCCTCTCTGATGCATTACTGCAGCAGCAGCTGTAATAGTAATGAATATGCTTGTTTAGTAATGTGCCAGAGGTGTTTGCCTAACAATGGGCACATTTATTAGCCACACTATGCAAAATGCACAGGGGACTAAGGACCAACATGTTCTCTCATGTGATGCTGCTCAAGTAGGTTTAATTAGGATCAGAAACACTTGTGGACAATTAAGTCCCCTAACAATTAAATTCTTATGTATTTTATGCACACAGAAACACGACTGTAATTATTCTGCCTGTACATTATTAGATGCATGCGTAGGCATACAGAACAGGGTCGCGGGAGTTAATTTGCTGCTGCATTGAAATTTCAAAACACAACAAACAAATAGATTTACACATATGCACATGGTGTTAATTAAAAATCTTCAGGTTCCTAACATGTATTTTGTAACTCTCTCTGAAACAGTTGCAAATAATTGCGCAAAGAGGGTGACTACTTTAAGCTGAGTGGTCCGTTGTTTTGGACTGAAGTGGACTAGGTTTAGTCTGGCTGAGCTACACTGTGGACACCGTAGCGCTGTAGGCTACGGGAGAATGCAAAGCAGCAAAGTCACATTTAACACTAAATTAAGCCTGTACGTTCAATTTAAATCCACTTTAAGATTAAGAGATTCTTAAAAGTTGATCATTGCTTTTCCACAATGATTTGCTTAATATACTATTTGCACGTGCTGTAAAGGAGTCAGGAGAAAACTTTATTCATCCTTCAATTATTACTTCTATAATTTTAATATTTTTTTCAATGTGCTGTTGTGTAAGACCAGTAAGACCACTTTTCGAAATACAACACACCGTTTCTGTATTTTTGCACAACCATTTATCCACAGAACACTCGTGTCTTTGACATGTGGGACTCAAGATCCCAGATAAAAGACCGTTTAGATAACACGGCCTTTGAACATTAGCGATAAGTGACACTAAATGCAACTGGAGGGATCCAGAAACACGTTTCCAGAAATGTAAATGTGTCCGAACATGTAGCAGAAAAAGAGAGAGAGAAATCCTTTCATTTCGTTTCGGCAATTCCAATTTCGGAAAATAATAATAATACCGATAATAGAGTTTTATTAAAAACCCTTCTTGGTAATAGATATTTTAAGGTCCACCACAGCCTGCAACATGGCCAGAATGATGAGATTCTGCTCACGTGAACGAGCTCACTTGTGTCAATATCAAATATCAAATTAAACCAAACTCAATCAAAAATAAATGCAAGGCAAATTACCGTTGACAGCACGGGATTCCGCCGATTCTGCAGATGTGATCTTTCACCGCTGCTCATCATCTGAGCCGCGTATTCCCGGTGAGTTCACGCGGCTCCGCTCTAATCCAACTTTCACAATAAATTACAGCTCGCCTCGCAGATAAGTTGTCTGCCCTGTCGGGAGAACTGTTTGAGGGGTTTGGCGAAACTCTTAAAGTACGGAAAAATGATAATAATACAAAGATATTAAATAAATGTATTAAAGTGAACGGTTTGGTTCTGTCTTTGTACTGAGCGCGAGCGCACAGCTGCTTACTTGCGCTCCTTGTACCCGTGTGACGTAAGTGACGAGGGGTGGGGAGGGGGTCATTTCAACACTGGGTCAGGGTGTTGTAGCGTTTTTCTGTGTCGTTTGACGAACGTGGGTTGTTTGAATTTCGGACTGGACACTGAGCTCTTCGTTAATTAGGGCTGATTTGTTCTCGTGTCTTATTCATCTGGTAGCTGCAAACATTTGAACTGAGCCTCATTCTGCCTACATACACACCTTATATGCCTTTTAAAATATAAAAATAAATAAATAACGCAATTATTCTTTGCCTTACTGTCCCACATCTGTAGACAGTGTCTCACGTTTTTAACGACTTCTCAGGACATGCGTTTGTTCAAAGTCTTCATTTATACAGACTAAAATGTGAAAACAAGTCTTTTTTCTTATAGTTAAAACTCGTCTAATGCTATGCTCATGAGTAAAAGTTAAACACTGCCTGAAAAAGTAACAAACCTTGCAGAATTTGGTGAATATTATGGCAACTACAAAGAAAATGACGTAAAGTATCTTTTTTCAAGTTATTGTTCAGTTTTGCACAGGAGATAGTGTATGTGTGTGTCATAAATTGGCTAAAAGGGCCAAAAATGTTTTTGTTTTGTTTTTTAAAATGACATCATCTGCAGTCTATGGATGTATCCCTACTGAAACCCAAAGACTACAGGAGTGTATAAAGACTAGGCACGAGACCACAAGAACAAACTTCAGCATCATTTTATTCTTACTGTATCTACTGAGGAGGTGTGTTGCATTCAAATATATGTTTGAGTACCTCAGCCAGTAAATACAGGCCGAGCTGCATCAGCTGCTCAGGGAGGAGCCTAGATTTTCTTTCTACTTGCTTTGAGGGAGTCTTTGTGTGCCTTACAACTTAATGCACTCTGAGATACACTCTGACAGTCTGCTGTTGAGAGATTGTGCAGATCAAAACTGAAGTGCATTGAAAGCACTGCAGACCGATGTCACTAAAAGAAGATACAGTCATGTGGGGGGGAAAAAGTGTAACCTTAGTAATAGCCAGGTACTGATAATGCACTTAGTTGAAAATAAAATAAAAACACCCAAGACATACATCTGAGACTTTATAGGCCTCAGTTAGCATTTTGGATGTTGAAGGTCATCATAGTAAAGTTAGAAAAAAGACTGAACAAGTTTGGTTTATCTGGAAAGATTGCCAAGCCAAAGCCTTTTCTCTTTAAAAGGATCAGTTTGCAAAACTGCCTCTGATAAAACCACAAGCCTTCTGAAACAATGTCAGACAAGACTGGAGGGGAGATTTCTGGCCATAAAGCATTGGGAGAAAACCAAATAGCATATCAGCACAAACACCTTATACCAACTCTCAAGCATGGGGGTGGAGGAGTGATGATTTAGGCTTGTTTTGCAGCCACAGGACCTTGGCACATTGCAGTCACTGAGTTGGCCATGAATTCCTCTGAGTACCAAAGTATTCTAGAGCTAAATGTCATCTCTGTGAGTGTTAAAGCTGATTGAAATGGGGTCATGCAACAGGCATTGATACCCAGATCACCAGCAGAAACAGAAAGTCTAAAAAACAAAAAGAATCAAGAAGCAGCAATGGCTCATTGAAATGCTGCGGTGGGACCTTAAGAGAGCATAAACAAACCCCCACAAACCTCAATGAACTGAAGCAATGTTGTAAAGAGCAGTGGGCCAAAACCTACCAACATACAGAAGACTATTACTTCAAGTCATTTCTGCTTAAGGTGGTTTTAAAAGGTTACTATATGATGGGGTATGGGACATATTTCACATGAGAGCAGCCATGTTTTTGAGCTGCAGGAGGCAGGCAGTGATCTGTGGATTGACCCTAGAGTAGTGGAGGTCCTGTACCGTCGGCTTAGCATCAAATGCTAGAGTAAACAAACACTGTTGTTATGCATGATACAGATAAAACATTTTCATCTTTACCATGAAGAAATCGTGCATTTAAAAGATTATGAAGTCAGTGATCAATTTTCAAGATTCAGAAGGATGCAAGACTATAAAATGAAGATCACATTTACATCATTATGATTTCATTGGACTCTAAGACTGTGGTATTGCAATAAGTCAGGGACTGCACTGTGCTCCCATTACGTGGCGTGTCCTCCAGTTTTAGTGTATTATTTTGGGACATATTTGTGTGTGTTTTTGGGAGGCTGAGATCAAACTTTCATATTAGCTGAGGTGAACTTTGTCCTGCTCCCTCTGGACATCTCATGTTTTCCCTCTTCTCTCACTAGCCGCTTCGCTAAACTGCTGTAAGTCTTTATCCTTAGCAAGGTCATTTAATTTGTTATACTGAGCAGAACTAATGCTTGTGCTGAGAGGATTTAGGGCAGCAAAATTTCTTTACTGCAAATAAGGGTTAAATTTGGTGTAACAGAATGCCAAGCCCAAAATAATTAATGCCTTCCTCTGTGATATTCACCCTTGATGTAGTCTGTATTCATGGTTTTAGGAGAAGATCCATCACGTGCAGAATGTGGGCTGTTTTCTAGAGTGCGGTGAGATGAATGTTTTCAAAAAGGATTAGCTCGCATTTTCACCAAGCTACTGAAAATGCATTGAGTCCTGTCAGCGTTTTTTTTTTATTATTTATGAGAAAATCCTATCTCACTATAGGGACTTCCAGAAGGGGGGATTTCTTGGCCTTTCAACCAACTAATCAGTCACCTCGCCTTTGGAGAAAGTGACTGCATGAAGCACTAAAATTAAAAGGAGATGAAGTCTCCTGTTCGCTGTTGCACTAAATCCCTGAAGAAAAACACTGTGGTCATTCTTGCAAAACACAAACACACTTTATTGAACAGTGAACTTTGACCGAAAAAAGGCTCAAAGACCTTTTGCATGTGTCAATACGCTCTGTTCAGATGAAGCAGACATCTGCTACACTGCTTTTTCACTTAAATATAATATTGTAAAACACACTACTCAGCCACTTATAGTATACACTTATTACATTGTGCTCTGTAGTAGTCTGTCCTGCTCTTTTATTCTGTCAGTTCATCGTGCTTATTGGTTTTGACCCATTAACCCTTTCACAGTTTGTTAAATAATCTTTCTTTTTTTTCTGATAAGTAAAGCCATAAATTGCCAGTAGCAGCGGACAGTGTCAGCCGATAAGATTTCTCTACATGCACATATTTTTATCAGTCCTGTGCCGCAACAGCTGTCAGGTTTTGAGTGGGGTAAAAAATGGCAAGCAGCAGCTTCTGTGACTTTTGTTCCCGAGAACTGAAACACAAAATATGCAAGAGCTGGGCGTGAGCGAGACTCGATGTTATAAACCACCTCAAGCTCCCCGAGGCTGCAAAATGCTACGATTGTGTCCGGCTGCCAGGCATCATTGCATCTTTAGTGAAATGCTTTTAAATTACATGCATCCCCCTCAACCCCATTCTCTGAGACATTGTATATACCCAGACCTGAATTAGCTTGACACATTTATAGGATTTATTGAACTCTAAATATCAAAGGCTTGATGCTTGTGGCACCGTCTATATATATATTTTTTCTAGAATCATTTCATGAGCTGTAAAAGACAAAAGAGAGCAAGAGAGAAATGCCTGAAAACAACTAAGGCATATTCCTTGTTCTTTACAAAAGACCCTCAGGCTGCAAAACAAAAAAAACACATTAGGTATATTCACATATGCAAGAGTGCTCAGGCTGGAAATAGAATAAGCCACACAGTATTAACCAAATGACAGAGAAAAATGCGTGCTTGTGATTGTCGTCTGTGTGAGTGTGTGCTAGGAGGATGTGCAGCATTTCCACAACCATCCAACAGAGGGAGCCAGCACAGCAAAACCAAACAAGTACACAGCTTTATTTACAAATATTAAAATATGACACAGACACTAAAATGATTTTTTCCCCTCTGAACCCCCCAAAATTATCTCTCTTTCTCTGCAGACTGAAACCCATATTTTTGTTTTATGTAATCTAGTTAGATTACAGGACACACGTTTGTCTAACTGCATGCAAAGTAAACATTTGAAGAGACAGATAAGGTCGCTGCAAAAGGTCATGTACACATTGTATTAAAAGGTCAGTAAATGAAAATACTGCTGTCATGCTTAAATTACATAATTACTAAAATAATTACTTAAACTCTATAGTTTGGATAGCAGAATAAGTTCATGGTTTTATATGGATATAGTTGTAAGTATGATACAGCTGCCATGTCACTGCTTTATAATGTCTTTGTGTAAGTTGTAATATATGGCATATGGAACATTTTTCACTGTAACATGCATTGCTGTGCCAAGTAAGTGCAAAACCCAGTGGAATTGCAGTTGTGGTCAAATTAACTAAGATGCATGCAGGCAACAATGTAGCAGTAGTATGGTAGTAGTGCATATAGATGCTCTTGTAGGCTGTGAAAAGCTAATTTTGAAATATTCGGAGGAAAGTAATATTAATTATCTTTGCCTTAAGTGTTCATTTGATTTATTCTCTTTTCTATTTGGGGCATTTATCATAAGTGTACTGTATCTTCCTCAAAAAGGTTTGGAAAGTGTACATTTATACGCTGCAAAAACAGGATTTTTTGGACTATAAAAAAGGTTAATGTTAACATGTTAACACTGAGGTAGTGGCCAATTTATAATGTTGTAATTTTGTTCTCTTATTAGCTCAGGACATATTGACAACTGATTGCTGTGGATGTACAATGTAGGTTCTGCTGTTTGTGTGACAAAGTTCAGTGTTACAGTACGACCACAACTACGCAGTCTGCATTTATCTTTATGGAGTTTATGGCGCAAAGAGGAGGTTAATGCAACAAAGCTGATACGTTGTCATACTGAAGAAAGACAGATAAAATGGTTGATGACATGAACTCAAACTTTACCGTAATAACCTATAAATACAGTAGGAACACTAAAATTTTTTTTATTGCAACCAAGAAGTTGATAGTATTAAACTGTAAAAGAAATAGCTGCACATTACAGTGGGCGTGTTTTAAAAATAA